TCAGTTGAACTTTATTCAGTGTATTACTAACATACCAGCTGGTAATAACTTAACACTGTATGCATGTGAATGGGGAACCATATGGAACTGTATATCTAATCCTCCTGCTGTAATAACTGGTATTAATATTACTAGTAACTCTACACCTTCAGCTCTAATGTCATCAGTTCATTCATCATCAGTATCACTCACATCAACAGTATTGACTGCTCCATCAATGATGTCTGTACCAGTGATGATATCTACTTCACCAGTAACAACTACTTTATCAAAAAATTCAACAATTCTAACATTCGCAACTAATTCAACTGTTTTAACTGCTTCATTAAACACTTCATCAACTAAATCTACATCATCAGTTACTTCTATGTTATCAGTGTTGTCTGGTTTGTCAGTATCAACTACTTCAACAGTACAACAAGTTACAAGTAGCTTCATCATAAGCAGTACTACAGATACTCCTACCATCAGTAGCTCTACTTCTATTCCTACCACTAGATTAACTAGTACATTAGTGACAGGTACAGTGTATGTTCATTTGTGTAGTTATAATGTACTTTATTGTATACATAGGTACTTCAACTGCTTCATTCCTGAGTGTTTCAAAACCTTTATCTTCAACTCATTCATTCCTATCTTCTTTATCCCCAACATCTTTATCCTTACTCATATCATCTTCATCCAGCATTACTTCACCTTTGCTCTCATTTTCTTCATCCTTAACTTTATCACTCCTAACTTCTTCATCCCCAACTCCTTCATGGACAGCTCCTTCATCCATATCTTCTTCATCATTAATTATTGGACTCGCTTCTGGGATATCAATTGCACTACTAATTATAATAATTGGTATGTACATTATAATCAAATGTTGTCATTAATATGTACATTGTAGTTGTTATAGTAATTGTAGTGGTAGCAGCAACAGTTCGATTTAAAAAGAGAAGAGGAAGAATGGAAGTGACTACTGATAACATTTATTCCACTGGACCAATTATGGTAAGGAAAACTTTATCATTTTAATGAAAGCATTAATTATAATAAATTTTAGATTCCATTGAATGGTGTAGTGAGAGATGATCCTTCTCCTAATACTCCTCCAGCAGTAGTTCCCCCACCTATTTACACAGAGGTACGTCGCTTTAAGGATAACAGTGAGAGAGGAGTGTATGATAAAGTGTCTCGTGTGTCAGCTAATGGACATCAAACAGATCACAATGTTGATAGGAATGGAAGCTATTATTCTACTCTCAATGCACAATCAGGAACTGTATACGACACATTGCAGCACAATAATAATAGTAATCCAGTACAGCCTAGAGTCATACCCTCTCAAGAGAATTCTAGTCAATATTCCAGTTTAGGTGTTGTAGCTCAAGCTTCTAAACCTACTCCAGTGCCTCATAGTCAGTATTCTGTTGTTAGTGTACATAATATGCCTACTAGTAGGACTCCGCTTGTC